TTCCAGTTGACTACCGAGAAGGCACGCGCCGCACCCGATGTGGTGACGGGTATGATTTCTTCTCCCTATATTTTATTTTATGTTGCTTATGTTATTGATGTGCCATATGATATGTCTTGTTTAGGATCGTTCCATGTGAATGGTATACCAGTTCAGGTGTTGTTTGATTTGGGTTCTACCCGATCATTTGTCTCTCTTGCGCTTAGCAAGAGGTTCCCTGAGTCTTCGGTTATGTTGGATTGCCCTCTAGAGGTCGAGATTGCGGATGATCGATCAATGCGAGCGTCAGAGGTTTTCAGGGACTGTGTTTTGAGGTTGTTCGAGGAGCGTTATTTGGAAGACTTGGTTCCCATTCTGTTGCGTGAGAACAAGGTGATTGTAGGCATGGATTGGTTGAGCCCCAACGGGGCAGTGATCGACTGCGTGCAGCAGTTGGTTCGGACAAGAACCCCGAGTGGGGGAGAGCTGGTGATTCAGGGCGAGAGGCCACATCACGGACCAGCACTATGTTCAGCAGTGAGGGCTAGGCGCTATCTTCAGCGGGGCTACGCTGGGTATGTCACCTATGTTATGGATACCCGGGAGGCGGGTAAGACGACAGTGACAGATGTTCCGGTGGTGCAAGATTACGCGGATGTATTCCCAGAGGAGCTGCCTGGGATACCTCTGTAGCGACAGGTGGAGTTCAGGATCGACCTAGTCCCTGGTGCGGTTCCGATAGCCAAGGCACCATATCGGTTGGCTCCTCCCGAGATGCAGGAGTTATCTACACAGCTGCAGGAGGTGTTAGACAAGGGATTTATCAGGCCGAGTAGTTCGTCTTGGGGAGCCTCGATCCTGTTTGTCAAGAAGAAGGACGGGTCGCATCGCATGTGCATAGATTACCGGGAGCTAAACAAGGTAACGGTGAAGAACCGTTACCCACTCCCGAGGATAGATGACTTGTTTGACCAGCTTCAGGGAGCATCTTGGTTTTCCAAGATTGACTTGCGGTCAGGCTACCATCATATGAGGGTCAGGGATGAGGATATACAGAAGATTGCTTTCCGGACTCGCTATGGTCACTACGAGTTCATGGTGATGCCCTTCGGGCTCACCAATGCTCCTGCCGCGTTCATGGACCTCATGAACCGCGTGTGCAAACCGATGCTAGATCGGTCTGTGATAGTTTTCATTGATGACATTTTGGTTTACTCCAAGATGCAGGAGCAGCATGAGGAGCATCTGCGAGAGGTTTTGGATACCTTGAGGAGGGAGAGCTGGTATGCCAAGTTCTCCAAGTGCGAGTTCTGGTTGCGTGAGGTGCAGTTTCTTGGGCACCTTGTCAACCAGAACGAGATATTGGTTGACCTGGCCAAGGTGGAGGCCGTGATGAGATGGGATGTTCCAAAATGTCCATCTGAGATTCAGAGTTTCCTCGGATTGGCAGGCTATTATCGAAGATTCATTCAGGACTTCTCCAATATAGTCGTACCTCTGACCCGACTGACGAAGAAAGCCGTTGTTTTTCGCTGGGGGCCTGAGCAACAGGCAACGTTTGAGACATTGAGACAGAGACTGTTCGAGGCGCGAGAGGGCGTGGAAGATTTTGTGGTATACTGTGATGCGTCCATTTCAGGTTTGGGCGCAGTTTTGATGCAGAGAGGGCATGTCGTCGCCTACGCCTCGAGGCAGCTGAACCTCACGAGGCGAACTACTCGACGCATGATTTGGAGTTGGGGACGGTCGTCTTCGCCCTCAAGATTTGGTGACACTACCTCTATGGGGTCCGTTGTACCATCTACACGGACCACAAGAGTTTGAGGTACCTCATGGACCAGCCGAATCTGAACATGAGGCAGCGTCGGTGGTTAGATGTGGTGAAGGATTACGATTGTGAGATCCTCTACCACCCGGGGAAGGCTAATGTCGTGGCTGATGCGCTTAACCACAAGGCAGCGCCGATCAGAGACATATGCATGAGGATGACGGTGGTGGCTCCTTTTTTGGAGCAGATCCGAGAGGCCCACTAGGAGGCTATAAAGGAGGAACATCAGAAGAGGGAGCGTATTGTGGGACAGGTTTCCTCCTTCGACTATGATAACCGTGGGTTATTGACGCTACACTGCAGGGTGTGGGTTCCATACCACGGGGGTGTGCGCCAGGTTCTGATGGAGGAGGCGCACAAATCCCGATTTTCCATTCATCCCGGGGTGACGAAGATGTACATAGATCTTCGTCCCGATTATTGGTGGCCCTGCATGAAGTGGGATGTAGTCTGGTATGTTGAGAGATGCCTGACCTGTATGAAGGTCAAGGTCGAGCACCAGAGGCCTGACGGCAAGATGCAGCCGTTGGATATCCCTATGTGGAAATGGGAAGATATTACTATGTATTTCATCACAAAGCTTCCCAGGACCGCGCGGGGAGTGGATTCGATTTGGGTCATCGTGGATCGGTTGACCAAGAGTGCTCATTTCATACCGATCCAGGAGAGCATCTCGGCCGAGAAGCTGGCCGATATCTACGTCCGAGAGGTAGTAGCTCGGCACGGAGTGCCAGTTTTGGTGATCTCGGACCGAGACGTGCGGTTTACTTCCAGGTTCTGGAAGAAGTTTCACGACGAGTTGGGTACTCGTCTGCATTTTAGCACAACGTTCCACCCGCAAGCAGATGGTCAGAGTGAGCGGACTATCCAGACTTTGGAGGATATACTGCGGGCATGTGTTCTAGACTTCGGTGGTAGCTGGGATACCTACCTTCCATTAGCTGAGTTCTCCTACAACAACAACTATCACGCGAGTATTGATCGTCCTCCCTTCGAGATGTTGTATGGGAGGAAGTGCAGGACCCCGATATGTTGGGGCGAAGTCGGAAAGAGGGTCATGGGGAGCACCAAAGTGGTGCTCAAGACGACAGAGAGGATTCAGCAGATTAGGAGCAGGCTTCAGACTGCTTAGAGTCGGCAGAAAAGTTACGCCGACAAGCGCCGATCAGACCTGGAGTTTCAGGTCGAGGATATGGTCCTCCTGAAGGTGTCGCCTTGGAAAGGCGTCATCCGATTCAGGAAGCGGGGCAAGTTGGGCCCCAGGTATATTGGACCTTTCAAAGTTGTAGCCCGGGTGGGCAAGGTGGCATATAGGCTGGACCTGCCAACCGAACTCAGTCAGATTCACAATACGTTTCACGTCTCCCAGTTACGGAAGTGCCTGGTGAACGACTCGACAGTGGTACCCTTGGAGGATATTCAGGTGGATGACAGCCTGAATTACATCGAGCGGCCAGTAGCGATCCTCGACAGGAAGTCGAAAGACCTGAGGAACAAGAGGGTGGAGCTGGTGAAGGTGCAATGGCAACACCGCAAGGGATCGCAATGGACTTGGGAACCGAAGGAAGAGATGAGGGAGCACTACCCAGAGCTTTTTCCAGAATCAGCAGCAGACTTCGAGGACGAAGTCTAAAATAAGTGGGGGAGATTTGTAGCACCCGATTCCTGGTATGTATTTGATTTCATAGAAATGTGGCAATTTACTCTGGGACTCGGCGAGTTGGGGGCCCAACTCGTCGAGTAGACTCGACTGTTGGATTGGGGGTTTAAGTGACTTACTCGACGAGTCGGAAGACCGACTCGACGAGTAGGAGCTGTCTAGACAAAACCCTAATATTTAGGGTTTGCACCCTATTTAAACACTTTATCTCGTCCCAAACCAGCCTCCATCACCCTCCCAACTCAGAGAAACCCTAGATTGAAACCCTAAACCATTATTGAGTGTTCTTGAAGCTTGTTGGTGACTCGGCGAATGTATGAACAGACTCGGCGAGTCCAAGGCAATCTCCCAACTTATGAAGACGGACTCAGCGAGTTCAAGAGGAACTCGGCGAGTCATATACTGAACTTCTTCTTATGGATGAAGATGAACTCGGCGAGTTCAAGAACGAACTCGGCGAGTCGGTTGAAGATTGTCCGATGTGTTGTTGAAGGCGAACTTGTCGAGCTCTTGCTAGACTCGACGGGTAGGAACGGGATTAAGACATTTTGTGATTATGGGGACTCGACGAGTTGGCGGGCCAACTCGGCGAGTCGAGTCAACCAGATGTTGACTTTGACCATGGATTTGACTTGGACATGGATTGGGATTGGGTTGACCCTGGTAAGGGTTACGAGTATGAGTATGAGTTGATAATTTGGAAGAGTTTACGTACAGGGATTGAGGAGTCGGGGGGAGTCGATTTCCACATCGAGATCAGTGCAGACACTACGCGACATTGAGGTGAGTTACCTTCCAGTAGCGGTGGGTCTACGGCTACAATGTCGGCCCACTACTAGGAGTTGTATGTTAGATGATTGTCTTTGTGATATTCATCTAGGTTTGCTGCTACCTGTTATGTTTTATGTGCTAGCATGATATGATGTTGCGTGATGGTGGTAGTAGTAGGGGGAGATAGTCCCCAAGTTACCGGCCGATATGGCCGAAGGGGTAGTTTAGTACCCAGCTATGCTAGATTATGATTACGTGATAGTATGTGATAGACCGGTCGAGAGGACCGAAGGGGTAGGCCAGCACCCATGTATGCTAGGCAAGGTCACCGGTCGAGAGGACCGAAGGGGTAGGCCAGCACCCAGGTATGCTAGGCAAGATCACCGGTCGAGAGGACCGAAGGGGTAGGTCGGGCACCCAGATATGCCTGGCAGTATGTATGTTATGTGTTTGTATTATATGTGGTATGATGGAGGAAACTCACTAAGCTTCGTGCTTATAGTTTTCAGTTTTGTTTCAGGTACCTCCTCAGCGAGGGGAAGGAGCCGGCGCGGTAGCGGCACATCACACCCACGCATGATTTCCGCATTGAGTTTTCTGGGACCGTACTCTGATTTTATTATTATTCGATGATATGTTTTTGAGACGCAACGTAATGGTTTTATGAATTAATATAATATTAGCAATGTTTTGACAAATGATTTTACATGTTACTTAATTAAAAATGAATTTTTTAGCCTGGAAAATTGGGAAGTTACAATTTTACTGATGGAAAGCTTTGTTTGGAATGCTTTTACTCCTCTTTAGAGCATCCTCTCGAATTGAATTGGAATGCTCTGACTTTGAAATCCCTAAAACATACGTTTCCATAATCTTGTTTAGATAAGGTATTGTGTTAAAATTATGATGCGAACCAGGCCCACTAAATTCCTCCATCATATTTTCAAATGGATCACTGATATGAGAGGCCCCAAAAACTTTTTCAACAATCAGTCCAGTTTGTCCCACTTGGCCCAAATTAGACAAACCGTCTGTATTACCATTTACCTCTGTGGACCCCATATCTTCGTCACATACTTCATTCTCCAAGGAAAAAGCGACTTCAGGTAACGAAGCGTCTCTAGCATTAAATTCCTCTTCCTCCTTCCCTAGGTCATTCACCGGAGACACCTCCATTTGATCTCTGATCACCGACGATTGAAACCCATCTTCTCCTTTCTCATTGTCATCTCTATGATCCTTATTCTCACCGGTTAAACCATTTCTTTCATCATCAGAAAGACAATCATCATAATAATCTGAGTCATCCTCAGAGTCTTTCTCATATTCTTGGTCACAACCAGGAGGTCGCCATTCATCACCATCTTCCTGAATTCTAACATAGAATGAGAGACCCTTCCAAAAAACATTCAAACATTGATTAATAATACAGTCTTGTCTTTACAGAATACACATTCTGCCATAAGAGATATTCCTCGCATCTTTTGAACAATCAACCGGAATAAGAATTCTACCAAATCTCTGAGCGACATAGTCAAAGAAAGTAGGATCCCATAGATGAACTGGCAAACCACTGATTTTTATCCACACGATTCTATGTAGCTGAACAAAATAATCATCCTAAAATCCCAGCCATGCAAACCACTTCTTCCAACCTTCATCATGATCTTTTAGAAACACTTCAGCTACACTCTTCCTTCCAAAATCTAAAAGGACATTTAAACCACCTAAGTATTTTAACGAGCAATCCACAAGCCCAGAGGCTCTAAAAATACTGAAGAACTTAGACAACATCTCAATGACCTTTGCTTCACCCACCAAGCAACATTCTAGCCAAGAATAGGAATACATAATCAAAGAATCTGGAATTGTAAGCTTGTGCATCTTGGGCTCATTATATGCGTTCATATTCCTTTCCTCTTCCAGATTTAGTGAATGCATACCGGAAACCACATCAGCATATGATCTAGAGCCTCTGGCCACCGGTACAGAATTGGTATTGAAAAAAACGGGTTTAATTGGTCTAACTCCTTGCTTATTCTAACTGCCAACCACTTTCTTCTTTTGAACTTCGAAACATTGGCTATCAGCTTCTTTCCACCTAACTGAATCTCATTCATCTCTCTTTCTAACCTCTCCTCATTCTCCACTTTGATAAATCTCACAAGGCAAAACAAAGACCATGACGATCTCTTTTCTGAGCGAGATAAACATCCACAAGACATCCATACCTCTGAAAAACTTTCCACAATCTCGCTGCATTCCAATTTTCTGGAATGTTGGCGACAAAGAAAGTTGTTGCAGCTCCTCCAACATCCCTGGAATGATCCCCAATCCAACCTTGATTCGAGATCTTTTTTCTTCTGATCACTTTAGTCCAACCCGGATCTTCCAAACTTCCGGTGACTCTTCGGCTCCTCCCTCTCTCCATCCAATGATTTAACATCCAATAGATTGTTCTGATTTGTAGTTACATCAACTTAGCAAAACTGAAGGTATTAGATACAATTTTTATACATAAAACTTAACATAATGGCCATCATGAAAACTGACGAAAACAACAAATGCATACTATAAAATGTATTACGGGCCATGCCAAACCAAAAGTATGTCAACAAACCTTTTTTTTAATAAACATTACAACTCTTGTTAGCAATCGTAACTATATTCAAAAATAAAATAAATAAAAGATAATCTGTTATATATTTATTTTTACAATTTATTTTTCTCACTTTATTTTTTATTTCGTTACTAAAACGAAATAATATATAATTTTATAAAATCATTTTGGGAACAACATAAAAAAAATATATGAAAAATGAAATTGTAAATACGGATTTTCAAAAAGAAAACCTAAAATGAATTATAAATAAAATCCATAAATATAATATATTTATGTTAAAGGTCGGAAAACTAAAGGACCAAAAATGTAATATTAAATGTATTTCATGGTTTTAACCATTCTCGTAGCTAATCATTGTGGCAGTAACTTTGACTGTAGGGTTAGAGGGGGTCGTTTAACAACACCCATATAATACCCCTTGCCCTAACGTTAACCATCGCCTCCATCTACACACAACGCCTCCGAATCGGGTTTTGTTGCTTGCGTTCTCTTCCATCGCTGCTGCTTCTGTTGTCGAGCCATCCCTTCCCTGCTCGCCGCCGGTATCCCTCTCGTCTCCACCGGCCGGAGATCGTCGCAGCCCAAAGGTTTGTGCTTTTTCCGTTCTCTTTCTGTTTTCTTTCGTGTTTGTGTTGCTGTCTCCAATTGTCGATTTCTCTTGCTGCTGCTGTCAAATTTCTCCTTTCTCTTGCTGCTGTCGATTTTTTTTGTTGTCCGAATTTGTGTTGTGTTGATTTTTTGATTGGAATGGGTGCTGTCGATTTTTCCTTCTTTTGCATCTGATATGAATCTGTATTGTTGTAAATTTTTTGGTTATCTAGATTTGTGTTGTGTTGATTTTTTTGATATGAATTTGAGCTGTCGATTATCAATAAAATTCGGAATTTGAATCTGATATGAATCTGTGAATCTGATTTGAATTTGAGCTGTCGATTAAGTATTCAATATATATTTTTTGTAAGATTAATAGTTATACTTATGCTTTGAAATAAATTTTGCAGTAATGACCAGCATGAAATAATAAAGAAGTATATAAATTGAGTCTTTTAAGGCGATATATTATAGGGCTATCTACTTCATGTGTGCTTGCAAATCTGGATCAGTAACAATCGTACATGGACTGAAGGCAACAAGACCAACAACAAAATGTCCTCTTTGTTGAGAACTATTAAAGAATCGCGTGAAATTTCTAAACCAGTGAAGTTAATTTTAGTGCATCCCAGATTGGTAAGAAACTAAGAACATGATCAATCAATAACTAAACACCTTTATATTAATTTTTTTTATGGTTGGATGTGTGTCACTTTCTTTTTTTTTTTATATAATTTTGTTATTTTTAATTTTTTATAGATCAAATGGACGAGAAGTTGAAGATCCTGATCTCTTGCAGAGAATCAAATTGACCATTATAAACAATCTCTTGAAGTATCATCTGGCCGGTGTTTATACTTACCTTCTAATTCATGAATAATTGGTTCATGTTTAGAATTTATTAATTACTTAGTTAATATATTTTTTCTTTCTTTCTTTCTGTAGGTTCATTTTCATAGATTGCTTCAATGGAACTCATCCACTTGCATTTGTTCGGATATGGTACACATCTTTGATTTACAGGGTAAGCAATTCCTCTCATTAGCAAAGTAATCTTAAAAAATACCCCAAAATTATGTATCTTTGCTGATGAGATCTGCCTTTTTCTTAGAGAAAACATGCTGCATTTGTTTTTCCGAACAAGTTGTTTTTTGTTTTGATTTATTGTAAGATAAAATATGATAGATAAATTGGGTTCTATATTGAAATAATCATCCAACAAGACATACACACACAGATTTTGGTTTTTTTATTGTTAGTCCCATGGTTTCTTACTTTTACAACTATGAAATTCACAAGGAAAAAAAAATCAACTTACTTTCAATTTTACACATGTTACAGAAAAAGATGATTACTTTTTTTTTTCTTTATATTTTGTTTACTGGAAATCTTAGGAAGTAACGCAAATACATTGCTATTTTCACACTTTCTTTATTGATTACATTTTAGTATTACTAACTTCATATGTGTGTGTTAATGTTGCTTGCAGGCTGCATGTAAAAACGCAGCAGAAAGAAGTGACTAAGGTGAAGAAGGTTGTGGAATTATCATATGAAACAGGTTTGGTTTCTAGCGGATTTACTTTATACTTCTAAAAAAAATGATTTTTCGTCTACATTGTACTGAAATTGTAAATTAAGTTTGTTTTATTAGAATGCTTATGTATAATAATAATAGTCTGATTTAGTTTGGAACCAATCCAGAAAGTTTAAAAAAAATTTAAATTTTCCGATCTTTTTTGAAGGTGAATGCAGAAAAATCAAGAAAAGTACATTGCCATTTAGACTATTTTTTCGACCCTGCGCCAACGGCGTGACGGGTTTTTTTCTAGTTATTATTATTATTATTATTATTAAAACCGATCTGTTTTTGGATGACTTTAGAGTTTAGAATTTAGAAGAAGAAGACGCGCGGCCCATTCTTGCCCATTACGGCCTGTAAATGCGTTGTTTTTCCATTAGGGTTCATAGTCCCCGTATGATGGTGATGTTGCTGCCGTTATAAGTATACAGCTTGATGTTGATCTCAATCTGTCCTGTTTTCTTTACTTGTCTTTCATTTTCTTACAAATTTTTTAAATGTTATGTTGATTAATTATTCAAGTGCCGGATCGATGATGCTTATGAAGAAACTGCGTTATCTATCTGTAAATTCCTTAATCGGATATGATGATAGTTTAAACTTACTGAGATCCTTCATTTAAATAATATCTATCAAGTATTTTATTTCCCTCTAAGTAATGATTAGTTGATTTTCCTCGGATCCATTTTGTGTTTTTATACAAGTTGTATTCACGATTCGTCTATATCCTGGATTGATTAAATTGCTTTTATATCTGAATGATTTAGTTTTTAGATGTTTATGTGGGATTGGAATTAGCATCGATGATGATAATCAGACTTCGTCATCCTTGCACTTTGATTCATAATGAAGAAAACAACGGGGAAAGTATTTCTGAGATGCTTTTTCTTCTACATTTACGTTGTTAAATATATCAATTTCTTTACTTGTTTATTAAAATCGATCTGTTTTTGGATGACTTTAGAGTTTAGAATTTAGAAGAAGATGCGCAGCCCATTCTCGCCCATTACGGCCTGTAAATGCGTTGTTTTTCCATTAGGGTTCATAGTCCCCGTATGATGGTGATGTTGCTGCCGTTATAAGTATACAGCTTGCGTTTTAAATCTATCATAAAAAAATCATCAGGATCCATTCTTAAGTCGATCGTATGCTACTTGTTGTTGATCTCAATCCGTCCTGTTTTCTTTACTTGTCTTTCATTTTGTTACAAATTTTTTAAATGTTATGTTGATTAATTATTCAAGTGCTGGATCGATGATGCTTATGAAGAAACTGCGTTATCTATCTGTAAATTCCTTAATCGGATCTGATGATAGTTTAAACTTCCTGAGATCCTTCATTTATATAATATCTATCACGTATTTTATTTCCCTCTACGTAATGATTAGTTGAATTTCCTCGGTTCCATTTTGTGTTTTTATACGAGTTGTATTCACGATTCTTCTATATCCTGGTTTGATTAAATTGATTTTATATCTGAACTATTTAGTTTTTAGATGTTTATGTGGGATTGGAATTAGCATCGATGTTTATGCTTTTTCTTTTACATTTACGTTGCCAAATATTGTGCATAGATGTTTATGCTTTTTCTTCTACATTTACGTTGACATCATAATCTTTTTGTTTTATCTTAAATCTGAATATTGTGCATAAAGAAGTAAACACTAAGAGATGAAAGAACGGGGTCAAACATTAAAGAAAATAATTATTTTAAGGGAAATCTCCTGAAAAGTCCCAATATTTTCAAAAAAGTTACACTTTAGTCCAAAGATTTTTTTTTGAACGAAAAAGTCCTAAAAACCGGCAAAATTTTGCAGTTTGACCGTTTTTTGACCGGTACCAAATTAATTTGGGACTAAAGTAACCCAAAATATTGAGATTTTTTTGTAAACAAAAATATTATGATTTTTCTGCAATCAAAACCCTTATTATTATTATTATTATTATTATTATTATTAATTCTCAAAGGGTTTAGGACTTTGCATCCATAACAATGAGTGGAGGAGAAAGAGGGCATTTGCAAGAATAAGAGGACATGATGTCACTCTTTTTCTCAACACCAAGAGCATTCATAACATTACGGGATGATTCTAGCTCTTGCAAACTCTGGAGAAAGGAGGTGCAAATAAATCTTAGATAGGCCTGAAAGGCAGATAAAAGAGAGAAAAGAGTATACTTGTAAATAGTAGAAACAAAGCTTAAGTAAAATATGTAAAACAAATTTGTACACATAATAAAAGCATCATTTGTTTTTGTGTTTTTGTGATTTTAGAAAGCAAGCATAAGCAATGTTAAATCAAACGAGTTAGAAAACAATTAAGTCACTGAAAGCATGCGAAGATCTGCAATCATTTTTTAGAGTCTTCTCGTTTACTGCTTTGGTGAAAATGTCAGTCAGCTGATCAGTGGATGGAATGCAGAACAACTCCATTTTTCTTTTTTGAAAAATGTCCCTGATGAAGTGATGACGGATATCAGTGTGCTTGGTCTTGGAATGCTGCATTGGATTCTGTATCATCTGAATGGCACTGGTGTTGGCACATCAGATGGGAGTCTTTGAGAGGTTTAGGCCATAATCTAAAAGTTGATTATGAATCCATAGAATCTGAGCACAACACCTTCCAGCAGCTACATACACAACTTCAGTGGTAAAACAAGCCACTCATGTTTGCTTCTTGCTGGACTAGCTTACCAGTCTATCTCCAAGCATTTGAGCTCCTCCTAAAGTACTTTTACGATTAATGCCACGTCCACCACGATCAGATTCAGTGTATCCCACCAACTTGAACTCAGAATCACGAGGATACCATAAACCAAGATTGGGTGTATATGACCATCTTTGTGACAATAGCTACAATTTTTTTCTTTGCCTTTGCCTCGAGATTTGGAACGCCCTTTCTTTCCACGAAATCCTCTATCTTTGGAACGACCCCGGGCCGATAACCCTTCAGCTTGTGAACTACTTTCCCCGTTTGAAGATACCATCTATTTCATATATTCTTTTGAATACAAAGCTTCATAAACTTCATGTAAAGTAAGGGTGTCGCGACTATAAAGAATTGTGTCTCTTATGTTTAAGTAGGAGCTCGGAAGAGAGCATAAAAGAATCAAACCAATGTCTTTTTCGTCATACTGAATTTCCAAAGTCGCTAAATCGGATACGATCTCTTTAAAATCAAGATGTGGTTAAATAAATTAACTCCCTCTTGATGCTTATGTAGAAAATTTTTTGCTTTAATTGCATCTTACTTGTGAGATCTTTTGACATGCATATTAACTCGAGCTTTCACCAAACGGCAACCATTATTTTTTCATTGAGTACTTCTTGGACAATGTTATGGTGGAGATGTAACGGGGAGCAAACCTTGGGCGAAAGCGCCTGTTACTAGGAACTCTTCATGTCCTGGAACATTCAAGGTCGCCAGCGTGAATCGATCATAATATTCACGAATTGATTCCCCCTCTTTCTGCTTGCATGCCGTTATAGAATTAGCGTCCCCCTTGTCTTTCCTCAACTACATGAAATTGTTGAGGAAAAGAATTTCAGTTGCTCAAAACTGGAGATGTTGCCCGACCTCAGAGATTTGAACCACTTGCCTGCATTTCCGGTTAGGGTGCAAGGAAAATAAGGTGAAGCGACGATCCATCTTGAGGGATGTCATCGTCCATTCATAATTGTCGATATGGTCGTCTGGGTCTGTAATACCGTCATATTTTGGCATGTGTGGGATCATCGCCGTGTGTGGTATCTCGTACTGGCAGCAGCTCGTGGCTGAAATTAGAGTCGGCGCTACGCATGGGGTTGTCCATGTATGAGTATGACATCTCGCCGTAAGCCATGTGCTGTTGCATTTGATACGGGCTTGCATACATCTGGTTATGCATGACCGCTGGCGAGATGTACGGCTGATACTGCGGTAGAGTTGGCGCCGACCCAAATTGATGGAATCCGTATTGCCCTGCCTGGTGTAACGCCCGTAGATCCAGGCTAGTCAATTTAGAGATAATAGGGGTCGAAAACGACTTTTCAACAAAAAATTATTTAGAATAAATAATCTTAACCAAGTTTTAGAATATGTCTCAAGGGTTTCGTACATATAAAGAACGCCGAAATCCGAGTTATAACGAAGAAGTTATGGCCCGTCGAAGTTTTACGGCAAAACTGGCACGGCACCGGGAAGCGTAAATAGTGAAGTTACGATAGAGCGACTTTTAGCCTTAGTGATCTAAACAAAAGTTGTAGAATACGTTAAACCGAGAACATACAAAAAAAGAACGCCCAAATCTGACTTCGTATGAGGAAGTTATGAATTTTCTAAGATTTGGCATAGCAGTGCACGACCCGAAACTCGAATTTTAGTTCGAGTGGTTTTTGGCATACGCGACCTAAATGAAAGTTGAAGATCTCATGAATAGGAACTCAACAGTAAAAAGACAAACGAAAACGGAGTCCGTATGAAGGAGTTACGAATTTTTCGCGGTCATTTAACGGTCTAATCTCCTCCTACTGTTAAATTTAAGATCGGTCGAGAATTAGCCGACAGAGTCTAAATGAAAGTTGTAGATCTTGTTTTTACCTACGCGTGGAAAAAAAAGAACGTCGAAAACGGAGCTCGTATGCGATAGTTATGATTTTTCTAAGTCAGGAGGGTGTTGTGCGAGTTTGGGTGACGTGGCGCGATCACAGCCGTTGCTTTCTCTCCAAGGAAAGCCATCGGATGATGACACATGGCACTGACTCGGCGAGTCAGTGGACCGACTCGCCGAGTCCATCAGGAATTCAACCTATAAATAAGAGTGTCGGGTTCCCTCATTTCCTCACCCCTCAACCCCCTTCTTTCTCTCTCTACACTCTCTCTCTAAGCCTCCCTAACCCCCAAAGCCTAGGGTAACTCCCTAGCACGAGGCGGAAGCCCCAAAGCGTCCGACGACTCCGAAAAGAAGAGCCTTCGGCTCAGAAACTCTGCTTCGGCGGAGCCCGGTTTTGAGAAAAACCCACTGTAAGTGAGCTATGCCTACCCTATCTTTAGTATAGCTTATGTTATAATATAATAATGTTATTAGGACCTTATAATGAGTATTTAGGCTATTATTATGAGTTATATAAGTGTCGTTATAATGTATTTTTAACCACTCGCGGTACGGGGAATCTGGTTTGGAGGGCCGCTTGGGTTGCTGGATTCAGAAGTGTTATACGCCAAAATGATCCTGCCCTCTGGTGTTCCATGTCTGGCCCCTGTCTGTACATAGTGGGTGAAGAGTATTGTTTAACGCTTATATAATAGTAATAATAGTTAGACTATTAATTAGTCTCGACGAATATTAGACTAAACTCTAGTGGTAATGATACTAGGTTCTGTCAAAGAAGTTGTTTAAAGTAAACGAAGTGCTGTCCGAGTACCGAGTCACCACTTTATCAGGTGAGTGCATAGTTATTTTCATCTTACACATAGATATGAAGTATTTAATATAAATTACGTGTTATGTGTGCATATTATCTGTGTTCTTGATATCTATGAGGGATGAACGATTTATACATGTTTTAAATGATTTAAACTGTATATGTATTTTATATCTACGAAAATGTTGGGTAAAACATGGGTAGATGAAATAGTTGATGTGTGATAAAATGATGAGAGGCCTCAATGTTTAAGATGATCTAGCCATCTAGCGAAGTATAGATGACGACCACAGACTATTCTAGACAGTCCAGTGGAACACTAGCAGACTCGTAACTTGTAGGTGTTTTTGAACTACGTATTTACTAGGTATTTTTGAACTAAGTGTTCACCATATGTTTTGAACTAAGTGTTCACCATACATTTTGAACTACGTGTTCACCAGATGCTTTGAACTACGTGTTCACCAGATGTTTTGAACTGCGTGTTCACCAGATGTACCCTGTTGTATAAACCCTGGCGACTATACGACTTAGTGCCTGTTGTATAAACCCTGGCGACTATGAGACTTAGTGCCTAAACCCTGGCGACTATGCGACTTAGTTCCTGTTGAGTAAACCCTGGCAACGATGGATTTCGTGCCGATTCCTTAGGATGATCCTTAGGAATGAATTAACGAGGAATAGTCGATTCTTAGGGTAGATCCTTGAGAGTAAAGAAGATAATGGGGATGGGTAAGTGGGTTGATTGTTTGATGTTTAAACATAATAATTATATTATTGTGGGTTGAAAACCCTATGTACTCAACATGTTTCCCAACCTGACCCACTTAGTTTATTTGTATCACAGGTGTCGATATGAAGTTACATTACACTGAGAGATTAAGGAGATATAAATCACTAGTGATAATGAATGTAAGTTCTGTTTATGTTTATGTTTCTGTATTGACGATGACATCCCAATATTTTTAAATGAATAAAATACATTTCTTCGGAAATGCTTTGATAACACATTTATCATGTTTTTCTGCGAACAAATTCCGCAACATTTTTATTAAAAGAAGTACTCTGATTTTTTTATAAAGCATAAACAAAATCGGTCTTTTCTGGCCGTGAAAATGGGGATGTCACAGTTGATATCAGAGCATTAGTTTAAGCGAACTAGGAATAAGGATTTATTTCTAGACTTAAACTTAGAATGCTAAAAGATGATCGTGAGGAGTGTGTCTAATAAAATTTAGGTAATACACCTTAATTGACACAAGCACTAGCTTATTTAGGGAAAATGCCTAACATGCTTTATGTGCTAAATGATTTATGATATGCATTATATGATCGGATCTATGGTCTATTGCCAACCGGATCTGGAAACTTTATGTGTTCAGAATTCTAAACGTTTAATTACGGTATTAGAACTGACATGTAATTTTTCGAAGTAATAAGGAGGAATACGCGTCTAAAACTTCCTCTATCTATATTCACGTCTCGATACACCAAACGACTGCTTTGGTATGTAGAACATCATGGTGAAGACTCGTAGTGAATTGAGTAAATTGAGGAAATGAGAAGGCTTACGATATTGAATGGTACCTATCAGAAGATATCATAAGAGTGATATCATGCCTTTAGAATGAGTTTAATAAATAATATGTCTAGTACGGGAGAAGCACACTTTCGATTAGCAGAAAGAAAGATTATCCATGAAGTTATCCCATCGTCTGACATTTCCATCACCAACCGAGTTGAAGCAGAATTGATGATTGAAGA